TGAAATATGTAAATTTCTAGAGAAGGTACTGAACCATTTTAATGTAATAGAGGACATTATTTGTTCGATGCCTCCGTTAAGAGTCGAACCTGGAACCTCTGGCTTACTAGTCCTATGCTCTACCGAATGAGCTAAAGAGAAATCCTCCCTAGCGGAGACAGTAGGAAGCGGCTGGTATTTTACCAGGGTGACATTAATTTCAGTGAAGGCACTGGATTATGTTGATTTCAATGGGGCACTGAAGCATAACCCCATTGAAACCTGTGACTTCTAGTGAAAATACTAAAATATTAAATTTTATTTTTAACCTTTTACTTGTGCTCAATTTTAATCGAATTATTTCAACATAATATAGGTCAAACATTGTATATAAGAATCTGCTGTTCCTCGTGAGATCATATAACAACTCTCCAACAACAATTTGGACGTGTTATACATGTAAGTTAATCAAATATCCGTAGATCTATGTCGAGAGACAAATAGTTTACTGAACACCGCCGGCAAACCGCACAACGTCGTAGCGCGTGAACAGTAATAAACGGACATGCATCCGCGGTGTGACGTCCTCAACAAGCGGAGGCAATAACTGTAATGATAAATAATCTTGTTATGATTAAAATATTATTTTTTTCTGAATATTATAATACATAATATGACATAAAGCTTGTACAAACTGATAAAAACGTTGCAGGGTTGTTGTGTCCAAGGACTATATTTGAATATTTCAGTCACAGGAAAATTCACATGCTTTGAGCTGTTCCAGTAGTCGAACATTTTAATGATTTTTTGTTGGGTTTTTTTCTTCATGTCATTGTTATTTTGTTATAATACAGAAAGACGTAAAATTGCAAATACAAATTGGAATCAAAAGAAAATGAACCACGTTAACAATTCCTGTTTTATTTTCCCGTAATGCAGTGGGCATTCATAATGCCTATGATTGGTTTGATTTTGTTTAACGTTCATTTAACAGCTAAGGACGTTGAGGGACGTTAAAGCGCATTTGAATCTGTTTTTAAATGCTTAACTATAAGGCAGTACACTGTCAAACATGTGTAGGATAACACACGAACGCACAGTTGTTGTCAGCCAACGATTAAATCATTTTTCTTGACTTAACGAGTGAGACATCTAGAAAGATGTTAGCTAAAGACAGTGTGTTCAGGATTAAGACCTGGCATAATTTACGCCACGTTGGACTAATATAATCTGTTCCTGAAGTGGGGTATCAGTAAGGTCATTTAAGCACAAGAGATGAAATATCCTCGACAAGCCTCCGGTCCCTTCTCAATATATATCCCGGGGGTTTGAATGACTTGTCTATACCCACATCAGGGATTGATTCTGTTTCTTAAATACAACCTAAAACATTTGAAATAGACTGTGCTTCTGTATTTGAGTATAAATTTGTGTAAAAGGGTACAGTACGAGGCTAACAAAATACAAAGTTGTCTCTGAGCAGGAGTAACATTTAGCGTCATCAATCCCTCCTTTATCTCCAATAACAACATTTCCTATTTTTTATGAGTGTTTAGTGGAAACAGAATCGTTGATAGAAAAACACAAACTACTCCCCCGCCGAAAACACAAAAACGATATTAGGAATCTAGGCCCGTGGTTTGGATAACATTTTCTCGCATACTTGCCCAGGAAAGACAGGAATTGACCAGAGAAAAGATAAGACAGCGTACACGCGCTATGACGTCACGACGTAACTTTTCATACTTGACCTCTGACCTTTGATGACATCGCCACTGTTTTGATTGCATTATCACTACACATGTACTCGTATGCTTCTGTGTCTTGGCGTACATAAATGTAGAAATATTGTTTAAGCTGTGATTTTAATGGATTTTTGATTATATGTTAGGATTCATCATCCCTATAGAATTAATATGATTGTATACCTGCGCGTCATTTAATACAAGTAAATTGAGGTCACGGATAAATGACACTGTCGGGTTTTTTTCGAGGATGGGAGAATAAGAATAAAACATGGGTATGGGCCGTGGACAGGGAAATCTAAATCCCCAGCGGGTTGAAATTCCCTGTCCACAGACCACACTCTTGCAAGATACAGTACTATCAGTCCAAAGCCTCAGAAAATGTGGATATCCTGTAAAAGAGGATCCTATTATAATGGTTCTTCTATATATTCAATCATTTGCATCTGTCTCCACAGTTCTCTGCAAATTGATTCCTTGCTGATTCGGGGAAAAGAATAGGCCCTCATTTTCCAACTTCATGTCGTAAAAGGCGACTAATGTGGCCCCTCTTCGAAATCGGGGTCTTTCCTTTACGTCTTCTGCTAAAGAGAAAGAAGAAGCCTTAATTGGTCTGCTTTTCCTTTATTGTTGAGCGTTTGTCCGAGTGGAGTAGCCAATGGCTTCAGTACCCGGCCGGGACATACCAAAGACCTTTGAAAAGGTTGATGTTATTCCTTGCTTAACGCTCAGCATTTAGGGTTATCGCAAGAACATGTTAATCCGTTGTCAGTATAATGTGACCGGGTGGAATATTGTGCTGGATGCCTATAGAATTGTATTTTAGTATGGTCGAACTCTAAAGTCGGCACCAGATCCTCGCTATCGCAAGGCGGTAAAAACATCATCATATCCTTTCTCGCGCACACATACTCAGCATACATGGAGGCACGTCCTTAATTGACTTTAGCTGTTAATAAAACGTTTAAAAAAACTAAACTAAACTTATACATGCAACAATCATGCAAATTAATCGTATGTTTATAATGGATTATGTGAGATATTTGTGGGTATATTGGCTCTGTAAGGCGGGCTAAGAACAGCCGACCATTTCCGTTTGATTTTAATATTCTCTTTTTTGAGGTAAAGAAGATCAGTAATAAAAGTGACATGTTTTGATGTCTGGTATTAAAAATAAAAACGACCCATTGGGATCAACGTCCGGTTTCATTCAAATTTCCCGATGGCAGAAAAAATCTTCTGGATGGAGTGACAGAATGCTGATGGAAATATTAAGCTACCTAAACTAAGATTTCGTTTGAGAAGTAGGTACTGTATATGACACGAACTCTTGGTCTGCCACTAACAGCTAACCTCACGAAATCCTGTATCTACGCCTTCAGAAAGTGGCTTGAAAATACAACAGCTTACTTGCACTTCTCTAGTTCGAAATCCTGTACACGCTAATTTCAACAGAACATTTGTGCTCTGACGCCGAGGAAGCATCATCACTAACTGTTTGTATTCTTTAACAGTTATGTACCGTGATTACCTCATAACGTCTCAAACCGTCGACTATGTAAAAACATTTACTTTTAGCATTTCTGATTGATGGAATTTTGAGAACATAGGTGAGCGTTACCGCTGGAGTATTGAGGATGAAGTTCATAAATATTGGGAAATTCCATCTTCATTCCTAACCCTTTTACAACAATTTAAAATGAGCAGGCCATGTGGATACATGTAGTTTCATTTCTGACATGTGTTTATTATTTTTATATATAAAATAAATCCTGACTTTAAACGAGATATAATCACCAGCGATGCATAATGATAAACCTCCATGCACCAATTGCACAGAACTTAGTTCGTTAGAACCACAAGAAAAAAGTTGTCAAGACAAAAAGATAGTGACACATTGAAATTAGCAATGAGCATACATGATGTATGACGTAATTTTTCCGATCATGCTTAATTTCAGAACATGAGATTATCGTTCTTGCTGGTACCGTTAAAGATATAACATCTAACTTAACACTTCGTTTACTGTACAAACCCTTAATTTACCGTTGACGATCTACCAAAGATTAAAACTTGAATGAGGTATAGACCTGATGAAGCGATAAATATTTCGTTTCAAACATTCATTAGTATTCCGTCATTGCTATAAAATATATAAAGGTAAATATGGCGTCGACAATTTCCGGTCACTAACCTTGAATATCTGCAAACTAATTCCGATTTCTGGGATATTAAGTCCGTGAAAGCGTGACATTATCGATATTAGAATATACAAATCCGTGATGTTCATGTTATATATGGACATCACGTTGTATTAAGGTTTCAATGATTAAACTTTAAAATAAATTTAGCCATCAGAAATTTTCAATGATTAGCCCGTCTCTCGATACTATTTAAAGAATTTGATCTCCGGACTTTAATAGTCATGGAATGAATTCCTTTTTCAGAAAAATGTTTCACTGATTGATATTTTTCTCTCCTTTAAAAAGGAATCCTGGACTAATGAGTTTCCGATGAACAAAACAGAATTAATTAACCCAATTTATTAACAAAATGGTTGTCTGTAGTGTCAAGTTTGTTATGTCTTTTCTTGTGTTTTTTTTTTTATAGTTTTAGATATTGTTTTACGTTCCGACACAACGGTATTTGGTTCCTTCAGGACTTGAAATGATATGAACATCTCACAATGTAGCAAAGTTATAGTGATGAGATTATTCATATTGATTGATTATTGATAGTTATTAGATTCACAGTGGTTAAAATATACTGACAGGAGATAATCATAGTGATTAGATTATAGTAATAAAATTAATTATAGTGATTCAATTATTTTTAGTGATTAGATTATTTATAATAATTAGATTACAGTTATAAAATTATTTATAATTATTAGATTATTTATAGTGATTAGATTATTTATAGTATTTATATTATTTGTAATGCTAGGATTATTTATAGGGGTTAGATTGTATATATTTTTAAGATTATAGATAATAAGATAACATTATTTATATTGGTTGGATTATTAATAGTGATTAGATCATTTATAATGGTTACATTTACTGCCACCATTTGCCCACAGAAACCTTGGTTTCAAAGTTTAAAATGGGAGTTGGCAACAATGAAACAATAAAACAAAGGGCATTATATTGCAGTTCATTGATCAGTGTGCCGTAACAGCCAGTGCAAGCGATATCCATAGAACAGATAACGCCAGCTAAATTACATGTACAAATCACATATTAATTATATATTATTTTTTTTTATATTTTTCAGATTTGCGTGACTTCGATGTACGGCTGTCATGATGGTGGACACAGAACATTGCATCATTATGGTGATTCTAGGGGTGTTCAGTATTGTCGGCACCATCGGAAACTTTCTGGTACTATACATTTACACAAGGAAGCGTGACCGGACTACATCAAACATATTCATCCTGACGCTTGCAGGGACAGATTTTCTCACGTGCCTCGTTTTGGTACCGTACAATATCGTGGCAATTGGATTAGACCATCGACTTGAGATTGACTTCTTCTGTAAGATCTACATGTTCCTTCTGACGTGTAATGTGCCGTTTTCTGCCTTTATAATGGTCGCTATAGCCTTTGACAGATATTTCTGTATCTGTCATCCATTCCTGCACGCCATCAACATTCCTCGTGCCAAAGCTATTGTGTTTCTAATGGCGGCACTGGCGTGTGTTTTCGGCATTCTGACGTCCTTGATGTATTCTATTTTTCGCTCTCCACTGTCAGATGCTACAAAAGGATCGAACACTACGTGTTTACATACAGCGCCATCTAATGACCAGTCTTACAACACATCTTTTACATCTGCTGACCTCTGTGGCGAGGCCAGCATCACGCCCAATGATACAGACGTGGACGGAGAAGATTTAGAGGGTGTGTGTGGTCCGTTCAACGACATATTTGGGACATACTTCATATGGGTGTATCAGAAAATATACGCTGGTTTTTACTTGTTATCATTTCTGATTGTGTTTGTGCTATATGGACTCATATACCGAGCGATACACCTTCGGCGAGCTCTAAAGGCGAAACGGAAACGGTCAAGTCTGTTTCCGGCGGCAGCTGAAATTTCCATGGCAGAAACACAAATGACGGCGTTAAATGGAAATAATATCGACAACTCCGAATCTTCAGACAAATGTTTGAAGAAAAAACACACTGGACAGATGAAAGATAAAAACTTCTATGCAAATATTCGAACGGCGGCTATGCTGTTCATCGTTACTGTTGTGTTTCTGCTGGCGTTCCTTCCGGCATGGCTTATGGCTTATGGCTGGATACCATACAGTCCAATAGTTTTCTACATGTACTTCCTGTATAATGTAGCTAATCCAGTTATTTATGCCTTTATGAACATGTCATTTCGGGCTGATCTTCGATCGCTTTTGTGTTCTAGCAGATAGAACGTGGGACTTCTCTTGAACATGGCAGTAATGTATCGAGAACCTATTTTTTAAATAATAGAAATTGATTTGTAAATAAATTACTGATACGTAATTATAACCTTGTTATATTTCATTTTTTTAGATATTTTTTATAGAGATTGTTTGGACCCTGATTCTCCTCATTCCTGTTATTTCTCTATATTCCGCAACTTTTATTCATATCCGTCTTTGTCATTTATCCGGATAATTCATTACTCACGACTTTTTTATCCGGATTATCGAGACACGTTTTTAAACTTCTATAGCCTTATTAATGGGTATTCATACGTAAATACAGTTTTCCAAATTTGCATTTTATGTACTGTCAAAAGAAATATACATAACAATCCTTGAAAAATTCAACGGTGCAGATTCCCATTTTCTGTAACTACAGTGGGGGTTTTACCATTTTCCCAAATGAATCCCGATCCCTGCCCTCTGGATTGTTTTTCTTGTAAAAAAATGTCCTTATATACCACATTGTAAGCTCGGAATGAACCTTCATTTTCTTAAAACAACTGAGATTCGGGGTTTTTAAAAAAAAATCGTAAATGAAAGCTTGGCGATATTGATATCACTCACCTAACACTTCTGCGAGAGTACTTTATTGTCCTTGTATTAAACACTGATGTGCTGTCCCTATTGTTATATTCAGGACCTCTATCTGTCCCTATTGTAATATTCAGGACCTCTATCTGTTCCTTTTGTTATATTCAGGACCTCTAACTGTGCCTATTGTTATAGTCAGGACCTCTATCTGTCCCTATTGTTATAGTCAGGACCTCTATCTGTCCCTATTGTATATTCAGGACCTCTATCTGTGCCTATTGTTATAGTTAGGACCTCTATCTGTCCCTATTGTTATAGTCAGGACCTCTATCTGTCCCTATTGTTATATTCAGGACCTCTATCTGTTACCTCTCCTAGTTATTGTGATCATGCCAACTTATAAAAAAAACTATTGTTGATTGCTTTTTTGTATTATCTGTAACTTAATTACATTTTTCAAAGAATATATGTGTTTTTATCTAAAGATTCTTATTCCTAAATTCTGTTTAAAAAATGTTCCGACTTTTGCATACTAGGCAAATAGCAACAAGTTCTACGTTTGAGAATTGCAAATGACAGCAGAGGGTTATAAGTGATGAATTGTTTTTCTTTTCAAATATTAGTACTGGATAACAAATTGAATGTCTTTCAATTGCTGGAGATCATGGTGGATATTTGAGAGCTTTGATTTGATTCCTAGAACAAAAATAGCAACATGAGTTAACAGCAATTACAGAAGTATTGATTGATATGGTGTAATTGAGAATAATCAAATATGCCTGAAGAAATAGGAGAACAAGATCATGACGGATAACTCAATTCAAATCAGCCTGAATTGAGACAAAACTAATTGTTTGCACTAATCAGTGGAGTTAACTTTCTACAAAAATACTGTGCAGTTCAGATATCGGAATAAAAATGGAGTTATTTTTATGATTCTTGTTTATATCAATATGCACATTGAAGATATTATTTGAGATACAAATATACTGCTTTTTAGCGAATTTAAAAGACATAGAACATTTAAAACCGCGAAAAGTACAGGGGAACTAGATACACAACAAGAACTCTGGAAAATGAACACATTTCAAAACGAAACGTAGATCTAGAACTACCTATTGACTTTCCGCTTGACAGTGTACATGTTACATGTACCTACATGCCAAAATATCTCGTCATCTGGAATTTAACCATATATTTCATGCTTCGTTTCTACATTTTTACGTTGAATTATTCTGCATTGAACAGTAATGCTATCATAAGAAAGCTAATGCTATGAAAATATGTCTGGTTTTATTTCTCCCACCATAAAACTTAACGCAACAAGTGGGCTGAGTCGTACTTAATATTTGCAGAATGTAGGTTAGTTGTTAAAAAGTTATATGTTATCAAATCTGTAAAGTCGGTACAATTTGTTTCAGATAGAAAATGTAAAAAAAAAAATCATCACAAATTCCATTATGCAATAGAATTCGACCGTTTTGCTGTAATAGTGATGAGATTTTTCTAACAAGAAATTGATTTTATTTTCGGTTCTGGTCTTATATCGTCGTACATTTTTGTAATTATCGAGGATACTCCAGCAAACTCCAGACAACGTTAACCATGGATTAACGACATCGATAGCTTATAACGATAGTTTTGAACAAGAGGGCCCTGAAAGGCGATCTATAACACAGCCTAAAACACCGAGGAATGCACATTGTCGGAGTGAATTATAAAATAATTTTTCTATTTTACACATCTGTAAAAGGAAAGGTTTTTCATCTCAATTTTCATAATAGCTAATACTATAGCCTCACTAAAAAGTAGACAAGGGTTAATTTGTTGGGTCTGATTAATGGATGTTTTCGTAAACAATATGGATAGAACATATATATGCGATTCTTGTATAAAAAGTTCCAATTTGCAGCATGGCTTTTGTGCGTCACTGTCTAAGGGAGTTAACTCTAACTCTAGTATGACAAACGGATTTGATAGGTTTTACATCATATCATAAAAAAGCCTTTTAACTTTATCCATAATTATATTTTATTGTAAAGGGAAATAGTACTTATTTCTTTGTAGATTTTCTTACATTTTTTTATGATAATGATATTATATTTGTTGCACAGTGCTAGCAGTGTCATCAATGAGTTTAACTATGTTAGTCTATCGTTAACAGGTTGTTTGGTGGGTGACTGTAACACTTACACACATGTGATTGCCCCTTGTAATTTTGGACATGGATACATAACGCTACAAATGAATTACGCTGCACTGGCTGAGAGTAGGTACACTGACCTTCATGCCTTACACATTGTAGGCATACAGGTAACAGGNGGGGGGCAAATTTCGAGGGGAGTTTCCGTGTGGGGAAAATTGAGGAAAATTGGGAAAATTCTCAGGGTGGGGGTTCTTGAAGCCAATATCTTGAGTAACATAAACTTATTCAAATGTACATGTACCAATTGATAACGGTGTTGAATATAAACAGTTAACGCTTGACAGTTCAAATGACTTCGAAGCTATTCCGTCTTTGCGTATTGCAGAGTTATCTTCTCTTGAGAGCAGATATTGATTGTTACGTCATTGGTTTGTGTGAGAAAATTACGTCGTTTTCTCAAAAATTGATGACGTTACTCTCCCAAACAAATGACGTAACAATCAATATCTGCTCTAAAGAGAAGATAACTCTGCAATACGCAAAGACGGAATAGCTGTCTTGAAAATATTCCATATTTAAAATAAACCAAAGATTCCTTAACAAAACAAAAATACGCATCAGCCATTTTTCTGAGATTTCTTTTTATATTTAGAAAGGATTAAGTGACTTTTAACTATTAAAGGCAAATTTCAAAGAGAAATAAAAAAGAGTAGGGTTACAAAAGTAGTCATTATTAAAAAAAACTAACGTCGTCGTGCATTTGTTAACTGTAAGACTATGGACCTTTGCGAAATTCAGTCTTAGGTCTGATTCTTCTGACGTTTTACTGGTGGTGCAAGTGTTGTAGCCTGCTTTATGGAACAATTTGAAAAAAAACGAGTCCCACCTCCATGATAATGACATCGCCATTTACTTCAAACATCAGGTTAATTTTGATAAAAAAAAAAAAAAAAAAAAAAGGAAACCGGTTTGGAAAAGACAAATAAACTAAATACTTGCTACACTTAACAATCCACAGGTAAGAAAGCAAAACGCAACAGATCTCAGAAAGAAAAAAGAAAACAAGAACTTCAAAAGAATTGGGGATTTAAAACATAAATAAATATAGTGAATACTTAACAAAATCTCGCAAGGGACATCTCAAATAGATTGTCTTATCTAAAACCGATGCATGCTACAGCAGACGTACAATGTACATAAAAAGTCATACCTTCCATAACTTTCAGACACCATTGAAGGTTACTGGTAGTTGTGGTGGAACCTTCTGAATTAAGAAAGGAATTTTACCATGACGAATCTCAGAGCTCAGTGCCAGCGGAACGGAGGATTGGTACCTCCAAACAGAGTGGTCCATACTGAGGATTGGTATCTCTAAACAGAGTGGTCCATACTGATGATCGGTATCTCTAAACAGAGTGGTCCATACTGAGGATCGGTATCTCTAAACAGAGTGATTCATACTGAGGATTGGTATCTCTAAACAGAGTGGTCCATACTGAGGATCGGTTTCTCTAAACAGAGTGATTCATCCTGAGGATTGGTATCTCTAAACAGAGTGGTCCATACTGAGGATTGGTTTCTCCAAACAGAGTGATTTATACTGAGGATCGGTATGTCTAAACAGAGTGATTCATACTGAAGATTGGTACCTCCATATAAGTTAAGATGGAAGACTGGTATCTCCATATAGAGTTGTTCAGACGGAGGATTAGTTTTCACAGGTGCATCATCTCCGGTTTTTGACCGAAAAGATCAGCTTTTCTCCACCCTTCACAGGTGTGTCTCCTGTTGTAGCCGGGAAAGATCAGATTGTCACCCCCTTGGGGGAGATAGCCTAGTGCAGATTAGCACGTGTTCAATTGTGACGTCATTAAAATGCGTCATTGGTAATTGTGAAGTCATCAAAAATGAATGACGAAATGCATACCCCACATGGTGTTTTTGTTTACAAATATGGCAGACTACTGCCGGTTGAGCTGTAACTGAAATAATAGGATGGGAGAAAAATAATCATCCCCTACCTTGAGGATGTAACAGAGAAATCCTCAACCCTTAGGGTGATATTTGTTGTTGCCTTACCCTCGGCAGAGGCTCGGGTTAGACAAAAAAATCACCCCTCGGTAGGAGATTTCTCTGTCACACCCCCAAGATAGGGGAAGATTCTATTAATCCATGCAGGTTCAGACGGTGGATTGGTACAGTATCTACATACAGAGTTATCCAGGCAGAGGATTTTAAAGTTTCAAAGATCATTATTTCTTATTTTTAGGCTTTGATCCTTTCATTATGTTTAGAATTGCTTCTGATCTAGGCATACTAGGCAAATTATAAAACGTTCAAAGTTTAAAGATCGAAAATGACATCCATATAGC